TGTGCTTAGAATTGACTTTGGGACCAGCGACAAGTGTGTAGGCTCCTCCAAGATGTTCCTAAGAAAACAGACCTGTAGTACTTCAGGGTTCTCAATGAAGGTTGAATTTGGGGGATTTTGCCCACCCCAGGCAGTGGGCACATGACAGGTGCTGTAAGCAAGAGTGTACAGGCATTTCCAAAGACTCACAGGAGTGAATCAATGTCCTTGTCTCTCTCCTTGAGGACAAATAATTTCAGGAAACCCTGCGTTTCTGTGATGGTGTAGTTACCTATTTCTGTATCTCAACCATGCTGGTCCTTGGACATGTTGATACAGTATATGGTGACAGGGAACACCTGGGATGGATGTTGTCTCTTCCTCAACTCATGTGTGGTGTCTTTCTGCACTGAGGTGTTCTTCTCAACCCCTGAGAGGTTGGGGATGATTGGTGACAGTACCAAGGATTGCATCCACAGGGGATGCGTGCCTTGGCCATGTTCTCCACCCAGGCTGCCATGATGCTCCTGATAGAGTTGCCACTGTCATGGGCTAGGGCTGTTGTTCTAAGCTATACACCTGATTCCCAGCTGCCACACAGTGTGTCCAGCAGCTGGTTTCTCTTTTGGCACTAACTTAGGGACACTGTCCTTGGTTCCTAGGACTAAATAGGCTCCACCTGAGGTCCCTTCCTGGGGAAAGAGGCAGAGCCCTACTGTCCACATTAGCTCCCCTGTTGTCAACCCTGGACAGTCCCATATGATTATAGCCCATCTCAACCAGACCCGACACCTAGCTCGGTCTTCTGTAGAGACAAATAGGAAGTACACAGATCTGGGGCCCCCCAGACTGGTTCCTACTGGTTGGTCTTGGCCAAGAGTCTGACCTTTCACAGCATCGGCAATTTAGGGTGGGTCTTCCTGGCACCACCTGGCATCAGCCCAAGCAAAGCTACAGACCATCACCAAGCAGCAGCTCCTTCCCAGAGAGTCTTAAGGGTCTTGGTGAGGAAGTGAGTGAGCCATTCTCAGCTCCAAGACATTATCGGGGGCCTTGGCTGTGTTATCAAACACATCCTTGTGGACAATTGTGTTGGGGACCCACAGCTGCTGTACTGAATTAAGAACATGCAGACTATATCCTACTGAAGGAATAGGTATAACTCGCCCACACTGTGTTAACAGGTGGCTTCCTTGGCATCTGAGCTTCCACTCTGGGGACGTGAGACCCACATGGCCATTCTGACTGAAGGTGGGGTTTCAGTACACCCTGCAATGGAAGTGGAGTCTCAGATTTTTTGATGAACAGATCCCAGAAGCAAGGGGACACAATGACCTAGGGAAGGGCTGGACTCCATCCAAGGTCCCCAGGGTGCAGGAGATAGAGAATAGGGTAGCAAGCACCTAATTACATAGGAGACGGATAGGGCTGAGGTCCATAATGCTTCACAGGCTCACCACTGCCTGGTTATTTGAAAAGGTGCCTGGGAGAACCAGAGTGGGAATCCCAGGCAGGCACTTATCTAAGGGTGATGGGAGGTGAGTGTGCATGGGACTCTGTGTCCCATGCCCAGGCAACAGCTCAGAACAACAAGTTGATTTTCTCACCACACCTGCACAGCAACTGTCACTCCTCAGCACCCTGAAATGCAGAGCAAAATGACAGGTAGGGATGAAATTTCCTAGGGCTCCAAATGAATGTCAGAATCATCAATGGTTTCTTCTTCCAAACTTTATGATTGATTTCATGGGATGCAACATTCAGGATCAAGGTCTGTTTCCCATATTCAGAATCATGCTCTCTAGCGTGGCAAAGCTTGCACTAGGTGGGATCACACCCCAGTCACCCTCCCCTACTGCCCACAGCCACCCCAGTGTGGAATAGGCAGCATGGATGGGGAGTAGCCCTCCATTGTCCTGAATCCTCTTTGGGACTGGAGAATGAGAGATTACCTGGACAATGAGAAAAACCTCAGTGTTCACGAGCACTCTTTTGGAGAAATGTCAAGAATTTGCCCCTACAGGATCCTGTGGCAACTCCCCTTAATTCTGCACCCAGGCACCTCAGCCCAATCCCAGATGCTGACTCAGGTACTCTGGACAGTGTCTTGGGCTCGATGTGGGCTCTTACAGTCTTACAAAAATATATAAAGGCCAGCACGTGTGCTTTTCATAATTTATTTCAGAGTTCTGGTCAGTGACCTATCACAGACTTAGTGTGTCAGGTGATATGTGTGGGGCCACTGTGTCTTCTGCAGACCCATGGAAACGTGGATGTCAACTTTGCCACCTCCTTACTGTAGTTTCACTCATACTCTTGTGAATTGCCTATTTTGGGTTATGGGTCTGGACACTGATTTCAGGATAAGCTTCACCAAAATTCTCTTCCTTAACTCTAACTGTCTTTATAGTTCTTACATTTGTGGCAACACCAAAGAGGAATGCAGCTATTAAGGCATAAATGCGAGCAAAAACCACTCTCAGATATATCACAGATTCATCACTTTGCCTGACTGACCGCATTCTACTTGGAGGGGGTCCACTGTCTATGCTCCCACCAGCACCTCTATCAATGCATAGCGGAGGTTCCCAACCTACGTGGCAATGACAGTTCCTATTATTGTTGCAAATCCCCCTGTGACTGCATTTCTTAGGTAAACAGTCATAATTCAGCTGAGCCACAGTGCCATTGCAGTAGGTATTGCTACAGAACTTTCCAGGAGCACAGGGTGTACCAGGTCTCACATGACCAACATCATTTGCTCCTGTGGAGCGATGTGAGTCCAGCCCAAAACACAAAAACCCTGAGATGAGAGACTGATGGAATCCCACATGCTCTTGCAACCGGGGGAGATGTGTGACATTACCACACTGCAGCCTTCCACACTGCACATCTTCTGGGGCACAGGCAATACTCTTCATTTTCACAGCATTTCTTCTACAGTGTCCATATCTACTTGCTCTAATATTTATGGTATAGCAGACATCTGCACCTTTCACAGCATTTTTACCAAAGATTTCTTGGCAGTGCACAGTGCGGTCAGTGCAATTTCCATGATAGCAGTAGCCCTCTTCAGTGCACGGGGTTCCATCTTGCATATAGAAATCATCAGGGCATGCCAAGGACTCCCCACGGCAGTACTCCGGAAGATCACATATAGTTTGGATTGGCCTGCACAGTGTCCCAGCAGGGGAATAAGTGCAGTTTGTACAGCATCTGCCTATATTACATTTACTGCCAGAAGTGAAGATACAATCACTGGTACAGCAGGGGTTGCTGTAACACTGCTTGAAGGAGCCACAGTCACACTCCTCACCTTGATCTACTATGTAGTTTCCACAACGATCATGGGTTAGGCTTTTATTTGAATACACAATGTTGGTTGTGTACATGCACTCGAGTGTCTGACCAACCACTATGTGCTGCATATGCTTAAAGGAACAGTTACTGAAGGAATCTGTCAGACCAGGTGATCTGTTCATAATGCAAGTGGACCTTCTCTGGCAAAAACAGTATAAATCATCATAGTATAAACCAAAATTTCTTCCCACTTTTTGTGTTGCTGTGATAGACAAAAATAAATACTGTCTGCCTAGGTAACCAACCATGATGAGGTTTTTATTTCTGCATACACCATGTAAGACGGGTTCATAAACAGAATCCTGTGGCCCTTCTTTAATCATGATTATAGATGAATGTGGTTGAAGATGTGGAAACACGTTACTCTCATAATGTCGAGTGTATGGATTCTGTGTCACGTGGTAATTGCCCATGGAAGCTGGATCTCTCTCATTATAAATGATCATGGATGAAATATAATAACCTACATCAATAGCTTGAAAGAATGAGTCCATTAAACTACATATCCTCACCAGGAATTGGGCACATTTTGACACGTTGTTGAACACAGTATACATTGACCTGGAACTTAGGGCAAGTGCTTTCACATTTCCATGATGGGATGAATACATCTTACTAGAGATCCTGGGGACAACACTGGCATTTGCTTGAGAGAATAGGAGGTCCCTAACCTCCTTATGTCCCAATTTATACATAGGTCCCTTTCCATTGCTGTCTGCCACTATCTGAGAAACAATGTGTTCAAACCTTCGGGAATTGCTGAGGGGTTTGATTTCATAGGTAAGGTCATCCAACTTCATGATACCTTCAAGACCCCCATAGCACGTGTCCACAGTGACCATGGAAAGAGGAATCTCCTCCAGGTAGCCAAGGTAGTAACAGTCTGGAGGGATGAAGGGGTAGTCCATCTGCAAGGCTCCTTGGTCATCCTGAGTCATCATCAGCAGATGTCTGGACCAAAACAGTTTCTTGCGCCGCATATGGATAACGTGTCTCTTACCCCCAAAATGAAGGCTGTAGGACAGCCAGCTTGGCAGCTGAAAGCCTTTGCCATGGTGCAACTCCTTCCTGGGAATGATCACCTCAGAGGAGATGTAGCGCCATGAGGGACGGCCTTGAGAACCCTGGACAGGAGCCAGCCTTGCCCAGAGTGCAAGCAGCAAAAGGAGTGCCCTCATGGTGACCTGGCCCTTTGCCAGCCTCATGCCCCTGCTCAAGGACACCTGCCGCAAGAATGGATAAAGGGAGGATCCTGAGTGAGGGCCAGGTCTAGAGCATCTGACAGAACAGAGGGCTGCCTCAGACTGCCAGCACCCTACACCTGGGGACCACCTGTGGGGATTATGTCACAGTCACAGGGTGTGGCAGTGGGTGACCTGCACATCAGTTCAGCTGGGGTGGATGTGGGATAGGTGGGTGGGCCATGTGCATGAGTGCTCACATGGACATGGGAAGGGAGTTCAATCCAGAGGTATCCTCATATTCAACACATTCAATCTTTTCTCCAATTACTTTAATATGTGATATACAGTTATAATACAATTAACTCCTTTACCAATTCCATCTCCCATGGTACTGCTGGGTCAATTTCTATGGATTACTCCCATCCCTCACTGTGGAGACACTGCTTCCTACTTCCTTGGCATGTGGAGGTAGACATTGCAAATTATATGTTAGAGGTGTTGAAAATAATGGTTTTTTAATGTTGTATGTCCTAGCACATGTCTTATTCTGGTTTGCCATTAATTTGCAAGTCATTTGATCCTTCGGTTTTTGCTTTGATGCTTCCTTTGAACTTACTGAATAAAACATTCCCTAGTATTCCATGTGATGATCGGTGAGTTACGAGTTTGTATTTTTTCTTACACCAGCTGGTGAGAACAGAATGTACTGCTGACTACATGGTAAGACCCAGGGATTGTTGCCTCTAATCCTCGACTGTGGTTGTTCCCTCTAATCCTCTATTGTTCTTTCCCGGACTTTGGCAGCATGTGTGGTTCCCTTCTCAGCTGAAGGCACAGGGGGCTGAAGTTACTTTTGTAGTTGGCATCATGTAGCCTGGGTGTGAACAAGAAATGTTGCCAACCACTGCACTCCCTTCTTTCATCATCTACCTTAAACCCCTTTAAAATCCCCTGGGTCAGGCAGAAATCTCACTGTTGGCTTTTGAAGAAGACTGTGCCTTCTGCCCAAGTGGCTGGCCTCCTCAATAAAGCTCACATTCCTTTTCAGTCAAAACTCATCTCTGGAATATTGGCCTTTCCAACAATGGGCAGCTGAATGTGGGTTTCGGTAACAGTAAAACAGAGAGTGGAATGGCAGTTGCCAGGGGCTGGTGAGAGGGACAATGGGGAGTTGCATCTCAAGGGATATGATTTTCTGTTATTCAAGATGATTAAGTTCTAGAGGTCTGCTCCAAAACCATGCACCTGTAATTAACAATACTGTGCTGTACAGTTAAAATTTTGTTAAGTGGTTAGATCTCAGAGGCGAACGCTGCACTCTAGGTGCTGCAATCCCAAGGACACGGCCTCTCCGACACCTCCAGCCATGGAGAGTCAGCAGCATCATCGGCGGGAGCGGTCACAGCTGCCTCGGCTCCTCTCTTGAGTCCTTCCCATCACCTCGCTGAGACCCTGTCCTGGCCACGGGGACACCCCTTTTTGTCCTGCTCCCGAGGCTCATGGGACCGAAGGACGATGCAGGGATCCAGGGCCGGACTGAGGGCAGCAGCAAGCACCTTGTGAATGGTGCTCTGGAGCACTTTCCATGATTACTATTCATACCTCTTCCTGGGACACTGTTGAAAGGACCAGCAAATGTCCGGTTTCCTCAGATATAATCTCAGATTAATGGAGTTGTGGAACAAATTAAACTCATCTCACTAAGATCAGAACAGCTGAGCATCACATACCAAGAGTGACAGCCAGTTTAAAAAAAAAAAAAAGAGAGCTGCAAAGTTTGGATCTTTCCCTGCCTTAGAAGAAAGAAAAATGGAAAATTGATAATCAAAGCTAAAATGAACATTAAGAATAAGTGACCCTGGGGAGAAGGAAAGATGGCAGAGGAGTAGGGGACCCTATTTCAACTGGTCCCTGGAATTGAGCTGGATATCTACCAGACCACTTTGAGCACCCACAAAACCAGCCTGAGATGTAAGAAGATCTGAATCTCTACAAACAGAATACCGCAGGCAGTTGGTTTTGAGGTACGAAGCCCTGATTCTGCGGGCAGATATCAGAGGATAAATGGCAGTGGGAGGGAGCCTGGCCATGGGGATCCTACACTGCCAGTGAGTGACAGCCTCATGTGCTGGGGATGGGGCGCAGACTCGCAGACTGGTAGCGGCGGGGAAAGGACTTTAGGGCAGCCTCTGGGGCAGAAACCCGGAGTGGCGGGGTTGCGTGGGCAAACTGGGAGCCCCTACGGTTTTAGAAGCACAAAAGGCAGGGACGTGCCCTGACCTTGAGGCAGGACTGGGGGCCCTGTGGAGGTGCACACAGCCCAGGCCACTGCAGTTTATGGAAGCACAGACAGAAACAGAGACAGTGTGGCCTGGAGAGCTCACTGAAGAACAGATTGCAGTCTCTCTGCTCTGAGGCAGAGGGTTGGAAATGGTCTCTTCAGCTCTGAGTCATGGAAGAGACCAGAAAGCGGCCAGGGAAAGCCACCAGAGAACAAAAGTCCCAAAAACTGATTCCCGCTGAGCCCATCCCCTGCCACAGGGGGGCAGAGCAACTCTGCCCAAACAGGGTTGCCTGAGTAACAGTGCGGCAGGCCCCTCCTCCAGAAGACAGGCTGGGAGAACAAGAGGCCAGCAACCCTAAGGTCTCAAGAAAACAGGTGCATCTTGCTTGGGTTCTGGTCAATACTTTGGACTCTATACATTTCCTCAACCACCCATCAAGAGAATGACTAGGAGGAGGAACTCCCAAAATAGGAAAGACTCAGAGATTATGACTTATGCTGCAGATTTACAAATGGATGCAGATATACCAAGATGTCAGAGATGGAATTCAGGCCAGCAATTGTGAAGACAATGGCTAGAATGGAAAAATCAGTTGATGGTAACATAGAGTCTCTAGGGGCAGAAATGAAAGCTGAATTTGCAGAACTTAAAAATGCTTTCAAAGAGATCCAATCTAATCTAGATAATCTAACAGCTAGGGTAAGTGAGGCAGAAGAACAAATTAGTGATCTGGAAGACAATTTAATAGATAAAAAGGGAAAAGAGGAGGCCAGGGAAAAACAACTCAGAATCCATGAAAATATAATCAGAGAAATAAGTGACACCATGAAGCGTTCCAATGTCAGAATAATTGGAATCCCGGAGG